TGCATTTTTTATGAGAAGCTGTTTTTTATGGCAGAAATACACTCGGAGATTTGCCATTGCCTGCCGAGGGGGACCACTGCTAAGAAAAAACCTTTTTTCTAATTTTTTTTCGATGTTGCTTTGACTAGGGCTTGAACCCAGGCATTGCGGAGTGGAAGCGCGCACTGCTTAACACTACACCACAGCGGCCGCCATATACATATATATATCTTACTGATGTAAAAGAAAACCTCATATACATATGCATGTATATCATCAAAAGCAAACAAAGGAACAATTTTATATGAAGGCTGGGGTGACGAGCCAACGAGGACTGCCGCTAAAGAGACAACATTTACTTTTTGCACTGAAATAAGATCGCATGACTTGATTTCTCATATGTAACATTTTTGATAATGGCTTTATTTCACTCTCCCCATGGACATATGTAAAGCCATATCCATGTGAAGGGAAATAAAGCCATATGGCGTAATTTCCCATTGCTTTTTTGCACGGCGCCAATTATATCATTAAGTCTAACTCAGCATATTATCCAAAAAAGTGTGAAATCGGGGAAAACACCCCTGCTTATCTTGCAAAGGTTGTTTAGAGAAAGTCGAAACTACGTTATTAGATATCTGTGCCGGGTATACAAAGTTGGGTTTCGCCCGAGCTTATACTTCTTTATTTGTTTATTGTTAAAAAAAGTGTAATAAATAAAAATTTGACGTTTTTTGGCCGAAATAACGATTAGTTGCTGTAATTTTACGATTTTTCAACGAAGTCTGTCAGCAGCGCTGACTCGTAGGTTTACCATTGCCTGCCAAAGGGCGACCGCTAGTAGAAAAGCGCGCACTGCTAATTACTACACCGCAGCTGCCGCCATTAGTTAAGATAAAAACAAGCAAACAAGTTTTGCTACTTTTCTATCGTTCTTAAATAAAGTTATTGGGTTTGAAGTTTTAGGGAAAAAAATAAAATCTTGGGATTTAGGTACAATTTCTTTGGTCCCAAATATTCTCCATTTTCGTATGTTCAACCGTCTGCCAAACACCCCGTATATTAAGATAACAATACATACAGTTATATTTGAATAAAAGCCTTTATATTTACCGGTGTCAAAGCAGTAAATAGTAATAATGGTGCCGCCGATAAGCCCAAAAGCCAACGCCAACCAAAGTTAGGGTAAACTGCTAAGGCCAAAGTAATTTCAAAGCAAGCGCCCAAAGCCCAGAAGCACTGAAAAAATAAAAAGATGTGATTCTTAATACAGTCGAGTGACCTTCGTTTTATAAAATAAATATATACAAAGTTAATATATGTCCATACCACTAAAATATTTGGTTTTAAAAATACTATACTTTCATAAAATACGCTTAAAAATTTCTTCGTTTTTGAAATACCTCATTGATTACAGAGGGCAACACTGATTTTGGTGCGGGAAATGTTGAAATAAAAGGTGATATAATCTTCCACTTAGGCTTAAATTAAGGCTTGAACTTTCGACTACAATCCCTCAAAATTTTATTTAAAATTTTTAATATAGTTGGTTGATTAATCCTTATTAATACATATGTGTAAACTAAATGGTTCCATTTGAAAAGACAATCTTAACTAATAGCCAAATATAAATTTAGTTGAGTAAGTAGAGTGGAGTACTAAACTTACATTTTATGATTTGTTTTCATGCAAATAGAGGAATATTAACTGAAAATCGACACCTGAGTGGATGATCGACGTATCTCAGCAGCCAGTTCGAAAACGCCCTATTTCAGAAAACACTTCAAGAACGTTTTATCTCAGAATTCGGTTAAAAAGCGCCCTAACTTAGCTGCCGATTAAAAAACGCCCCACCTCAGCACATTTTCAATACATTTTCATTTGAGATAGGGCGTTTTTAAACCAAAATCTGAAATAGCACCTTCTTAAACCAAATTCTGGGCTAGGGTGTTTTTCAATAAAATTCTGAAGTAGGGCGTTCTTGAAAAGTTTTCTGATATAGGGCGTTTTCGAACTGGCTGCCGAGATAGGTCGATCTTTCACTCAGGTATCGAAATATTTTCTTACTACGAAGATATGTGGGACATGCGTATAAAAAATTAATAAATGTGAAGTAAATACATATCGTCGCCCTTATGGCAGAAGTATGAATGTGCAATTTTTTTTTTTTGAGTTATTGGATTGACTTGATTAACCTTTGGATGTCCTAGGTTATACCAAAACCCTGAATACCATGTGTACACGGAAACTACATATTTCACAATGTCAATTACATGAAAGCAGAGTTAGGTCTCATACAAAAATTCAAACTTGATTTCCCAAAATTTTAGTTTTTATGCAGTAAAGAATTAAATTAATTAATCCCAACGACTTTTTACCCTCCATTCTCGCCCAACCGGCATGAGGGGCGCAGTCCGCACGACGTACGGAACCTTTTTTTTAGTTTTTTGGTGCCGAGTAGTGGAAACAGGAGTTTGTTAAGTGTCGAGATCTAAAACTATTCAGCTACAGAATCAAATTCATCAGCTGATTGGATATGCTAAAGATAGTATTTCAATTATTGAGAGTGGAAATAATAGTTTTCTTTATAGTAAAAATCGAGTCCGATACGTCAAACGTGCTGGAATGACAGTGTACAATCAACCGATTGTAATGAAGGAGCACCCTAACACCTTCTCTGCTTTTCAACTTTCTTGGTACTGCAAAAAGAAAGTGGAGAAAGGTAAAACATTCCAAATTCAACAGCCAACGCGCGCACACGGAGAAACGGCCACCGGGAAGTTTAACGGCAACAAATAGACATTTATATATCTTATACCCGCTTTAATTATTAAAACTACAACATTTATAACGTTTTAAATATAACGTTTTAATATAAGAACTCAGTCAATTTCACTTTCAAATTCATTTCAAAATCACTGAATACAACATAGATGTTATGCTACTGTCCGAGACACATTTAACAAATAAATATAATTTCTCCATACCTGGATACAAATTCTATGCCACAGCGGTGCTGATTAGAAATCGTCTAAAGCACAATATTCTAGAGTCAAAAGCAACAGCCTGTCTGCAAGCAACTACCATATGCTTACGAAACCGCGACCGAGACTTGAATCTATCGGCTATTTATTGCCCAACGCGATTTTTAATCTCTGAAAATGACTTTAAAGATTTCTTTGATAGCCTAGGTAATAGATTCCTGGCAGGAGGCGACTTCAACGCAAAGCATACGTACTGGGGATCACGCCTTATTAACCCAAAAGGGCGGCAACTATACAATACCATTATAAACAGGCACAATAGACTAGAGGTCACATCTCCTGGTACTGGCCTTACTGGCCGATATAAAGAAGATACCAGACCTAATAGATTTCGCAATTACAAGAAACATATATAGAAATAACATAACAGCAGAAACTCTACCTGAACTATCATCCGATCACTCCCCTATATTAATAAAACTATATGAACAGACCCAAAATATCGAAATTGAGCCTCGTCTAACTTCAAATAACACCAACTGGCTTAAATATAAAAAGTACATCAGTAGTCACCTTAAATTAAACGCTGCACTTAACTGCGAGCGTGATATAGACTCCCTTGTTGAACATTTTAAAGAAACCTTAACTACAGCCGCTGGCCTGGCAACACCAAATCAAGTCCAAGTACCACCTACGCATACATCAGTTACAAATACCGAAATAGAAAAACTTGTGGCAGAAAAGCGGCGCCTAAGAAGACAGTGGCAGAGCCATCGCTCACCAACCTCACAGCTACTGTATAAAGCTGCCAGTAGAAAACTGAAACAAGCACTCAAACGTGCAGAGGATCGCAACTTGCCAAGGTACATTAGGAAGCTTTCCCGAATTCTACTGAAAGATACTCTCTATGGAAATCGCTAAAATACTTCAAACCACCAGTGGCTACAGAAATGCCTATTAGGAACCGATGTGGAACCTGGGCTCGTAGTGAGCAGGAGAGAGCCGAGTGTTTTTCACACCATTTAAAGAATGTGTTTCAACCAATCTGTCCAACGAACAACTTCAGGCTGCCACGGCTAACCAAAAATACAAATGAGCTATACACACCTAGCAAGACGAACTCTTTAGAACTAAAAGCTATAGTAAAGCAGCTTAATCCAAAGAAATCGCCGGTTGCTGATTTTATAACTCCGAAAATGCTAATAGAGCTACCGAATGTTGCACTAGCAATTCTTTCTGACCTTTTCAACGCTATCCTCATATTCGGTTACTTTCCGAAATCATGGAAAAGGTCGAAGATAGCCGTCTTCATACAGACCAATAAGCTTACTGCCCTGTCTTTCCAAAGTATTCGAAAAAGTACTCCTATCAAAGATATCATGGTACAATTGAACAAGTTAATCGAATTATAAATGAAATCAGAAGGGTATTTGAGCTCAGAGAGTACTGCTCTGCAATTTTTCTCGATGTGGAACAAGCATTCGACAAAGTATGGTACGACGGTCTTATATATAAAATTAAAAAATTGTTGCCGCCGGAATTCCACAAAATATTTGAATCATACATAACTAACAGAAAATTTGCTGTTAAAGTATCTAATTTCACTTCAGAAGACATGTCGATAACGGCTGGCGTTCCTCAAGGTAGTGTACTCGGGCCTATGCTGTATATCATCTACACTTCAGATATTCCAACTAGCAAGAATATACTCACATCCACCTTCGCTGATGATACCGCCTTAGTAAGTCGTAATAAATTTCCCAACAGAGCTTCAAGAGTACTAGAGGAACATTTACTATGCATAGAAGAATGGCTGGCAAATTGGCGCATAAAAGTCAACGAACAGAAGAGTAAACATACAACATTTTCACTCAGACCGCAAGTATGCCCCCCAATCAAATTAAATAATGTCCATATTCCCCAAGCCAATGAGGTGACATATCTAGGAATACACTTGGATAGGAGACTAACTTGGCGCAAACACTTATCAACCAAGATTACACAAATGAAGCTAAAGTCAGCTAGCGTGAACTGGCTTATAAACAGTAAATCATAACTGAAACTATATTATAAAGTACTTGTATATAATACAGTGATTAAGCCTATATGGATGTATGGTATTCAACTGTGGGGTACGACCTGTGCAACCAACATTGACAGGATCCAAAGATTCCAATCTAAAACGCTAAGGGCCTTAACGGGAGCACCGTGGTATGTCCTCAATGAAAATATACATAGAGACCTTGGTAAACCGCTGGTTAAATCTGTAATCGACAGCAGCAGAGAAAAATACAAAATAAAACTGCGTAACCACCCAAATCCACTGGCAAGTGGCCTGTGCAACACAACAAATATAACACGCCTGCGAAGAAGAGATCTACCAGCCTTTAATTGAGCGACGTTAAACCTACAGGGCTCAACCTCAGTGTTATTATTGTACATTATTGTAAAATTAGACGTAAGATTTTTAAACTTGTTGTTAGGCTTAATATTTAGATGTAAAATAAGCAGATCCAACAAATAAACGCAAGTATAATTAAAAAAAAATTGCGCAGCTGACATATGTGTGAACACAAAACCCAATTCCGCAATTTAAAGTTTATTTGCCTCAGCTAATTGGCCTGTTTGAACATACTGATAGTGAAAAGGTGTAAGCATGGTCGTAGGCAGGTAGGTGCAGGGAGCTCGGGTATAAAAATCAGAAAATTTTTAAATTATAAATTAAAAAAATTGCCATACATTCAGGAATAGCCTGGAATTCTTTTGTGGAATTTAGTTATTTATTTTTAACATATATTGTTGCTTTGAAAAAGATTTCTAGGATATCCGTCCTAAATAATGGCAATTCGTAACAATAAATTGCACAAAAAAATTGAAACAAAAATTGTACTCTTTTTTTAAGTTTTGTACTGCTTTTTTTCTATCGAAAATAGAAATGTACTCCTTTCTCCGTTTCAGAATCTGGCAACCCTATATATAAGTAAGAAATACTTTAATTGGTTTATAAGTATGCAGTGTACATACATGCATTACGCCAGAGATCCTAATTCTTGTTAATATTTTAGAGTAATAAACGAATGAAGCCTGTGCTGGATGTATTTTGATAAACTGGTAGCGGGCTCAGTGAAATTTTATTTAAATTTGCTTACAATATTTGTGAAAAGAAAAATGTAAATATATCGTCACCTGAAATGCAAAAAGACGTAACAACATCGTAGCTGAAATGGAAAAAGTCGTTACAAAATTTTTTTATGTGTTTTTTTTTTTGTTATTTTATGGCCTTATAACAATTATATTCAACAATTTTTATTGAGCTCGAGGCCGTTAACAAAAAAACAAATAACTCAAGGACGAGCACACCTAAAAAGTTAAACATTCTAAAAATAGAATTATTAGCAAAAACCAACAAAACCAACAACCACATGATCAAGTGAATTTCAGCGGAATAGCTGCTCTTGATTGTGTTGGCATAACAAAAATGAAAAAGTGGGAAAAAAGCAACGATAATTTACAAGGCGAGCTTAGCACAGTGCACAGGCAACTGGCTGAGTCAGTGGGATCGTCGGTTCGAAGCCTACTGAAAGAAGTCTGATGAGGAAATGTGGTGATTTCCGAAATAGCTATCACTTCTACCATTTTTTCTAATTATTGTTGCTTTTCCACATAAAACTTTCATTAAAAAACGGCCTCGAGCTCAATAAAAATTGTTGAAAATTTTTTTATTTTATTCATTAAAAGATGTGGGAGTTGCAATTCGATGAAATCCAGCATATCAATCAAAAACTGAATTTTAATTTTGTATTAGTTACCACTTTTTGAATTTCAGCGACGATGTTTGTTACGTCTTTTTGCATTCCAGGTGATATGTGAATAAAGTTTTACTTTGCATTTGTTTTGTAAACCCACTTCTCTGAGTCAATATGTTAACAATAAGAAACAGTAATCTTTACCGTTAGTTAAAATTTTTCAATCAGCACACGGGTTGAATAAAAATTAGAAACATCTGTAAAAGCATCGATGTTTTCATTCAATACATCGAACTGCCATCGATGTAATTTATCGAAACATCGATTCTTCAAACATCGATGTTTTCACCGTAATTTACATCCCTAACTTATAGTAGTAAATATATGCAGCTTCTGCTGACTACAAATGTGTTTTCAACACGATTTCTAAATAAACAGTAACCGTAGATTTTAAATTAAGGATGAAAGTATTGTTGTAACGTAAATAATTTAACAATCCAGTGAGAAGAACCCGAAAGATTTAGGAATTCAGAGATTAATTCAAGGATGATCGTAACAATACATACAGTGACGAAAATATAAATATCGAAGAGACATTTTGGCATTCTGTGGCTAATTCCCTTTCGTTTATTTGATGTTTATTATTTTTGTATGAAAGTGTAGCTCGTTATCTAAGAAAAACTACGCAAGTAAAAATTTCAAACTTTGTACGAAAATTAGCGAAATTCTAGAGATTTTTAATTAGAAACTCTAGTAACATTCTGAGTATGCAACTTTGTAGCCAATTCAATTTTTTTATAACGAAGTGCAAATTTTAAGTAGCTAGGACTTACCATTCATTTTTGGCAAATTTTTTGTGGAAGCTGTTGCTAATTTCCTCTGTACAAAATATTTTCGAACATACTTTGTATGGAAGAAAATGCGTTAACAAAAAATTGCCAAAAATCAACGATAAGTCCTTTATTATACCAAAATTTAAAAAAACTGCATACTCAAAAAATTTCTATAAAATCGGATTAAACAGTTTCCAACTTTGATGTACATTTGTTAAGATTTGTCGAACTTGTAAATATAAATGTTCTACAAAGTTTAAGATTTTGATTTACAGGGTATTGTTTAGATAGTAAGCTATATTTTCATAAAAACATAATAAACATTTTTTAAACAAAGAAAAATAGCCAAACCTTTCTAAAATGTGGATTCCTTATTTACATTCTCGCCACCGTACATCATAGAAATGAAACATGAGAACTCATTTATTACATTTTAAGCATTAAACGAATTAAAAAAGTAAGAAATAAATAACATCGACTGAAGTGCGAAAAAAGTAAAAAGAAAAGGCTAAGAATCGGCCAAAAACGGCCGATGCGGTTGATTTGACCGATACTAACTGATGCCGATGCCAATTAATCGGTCGTTCACGCCTCTAGATGTTGTCTTTTTCATTGCTAACTTTTGAATTGAATTTTCAATGAACTGTTCTTATATATACATTAGACTGCATCACTCCCCATACAAAAAAATTGGTACTGTTTTTCCATTGGAATTATAAAATCTGTTGTATTATAAGATGTCCTTCAAAATATTTCGGAAAAATATTAAGATTTAAGCGAGCTTGACCGATTTAATAATAATAATAATAATACCAACGGGTTTTACCCTCCATTCCCGCACATCCGCACGAGGGGTGCAGTCCGCATGACGTACGGAACCAGTATTTTCAATTTTTGCGCCGAGTCACGATAGGCAGGAGTTTGTTAAGTGTCGAGATCTAAAACTGTTCAGCTACAGAACCAAATTCATCAGCCGATTTTATGTCTTTATTTTAATGATTCATTTATTGCGAGAGGACAGTATCGATTTCTTAATGCTGAAAAGCGGATCTGATATATCAAACCTGCTGGAATGAGCGTTAAAATCCTGGCATAAGCAACGGAGTGAGTCGTGCAATTCAAAATTAGTTTTACAAGCTTTCAGAAATAGGGGACAATAGTGTCTTGATACCCGGGAGGGAACATTAAGGCCAACTTCGTCCAGAAGAAGCGGACTTGAAATTGAGGCTGTTAGTAATTTAATTATACAAGTTGTACCAAGCATTTGCCTGCGGCTGGAAAGTGTAGGAAGATTAATAAGTTTTAATCGGCTCGTATAAGGGGAAGGTTATATTGAGAATCCCAACGGAAATTTCTTAAAGCAAAAAGTGGGAATTGTTTTTGAATTGATTCTATCTTGTCTGAGAAAATTTGATACCTTGGATTCCAAACCACCGAACCGTATTCAAATTGCCCTAACTAATGTTGTAAACAGGGTTTTAGTGATATAAGGGTCACAGAATTCTTTTGACCATCGTTTCACAAATGCAAGTACACCTTTAGCCTTGTTGACTGTCACATTAATATGAAGATTAAAATTAAGCTTAGGATCCATTGCGATACCAAGGTCCACAAAATTGTATACCTGTTCCAGGTTATGCTGTTTAAGTCTGATTGTAGCAAAGACCTTTCTTGAATTGAAACGTACGATTTATAAAGCTTTACATCATCTGCACACATTCAAATTTTGGAAAATGATATATCTGTAGAAATATCATAGTTCTCCACTGAAGATCTGCTCGAAAATACTTTCAAAAATTTAGTTTTTATGAATAAAAATAGTTTCTTAAAGATGTGTGCTAAAATACCCTCAAATGACAAAACGGTTTAAGCTTAAAAAATTTACATAAAAATATTAAAAAAATAACAAAAAATTTGAACGGAATCGTAATGAAAATTTTGATGCTGTTTTTTAACTTTTTTCAAAGATTGGTATGAGAAACAATTGAATAACTGAACCTAAACTCTTCCGATTTAGACTTGTGAGGTATCATTGGAAAGATATTTGCTCACCCTTTTTATTTCTTTGCTAATAAACACACTCAAAGGATGAAAGAGAAAGGTAGGATGAACGAACATCATTCAAAGTTGAATTAAGATGTGTTGGTATTTGAAAAGCAAAAATTTGTATACGAATGACCTTTTTTGCACATAAATAAAAATAGTGGGAAACACCTTTCTACCGAGATCCCATAAGTCTAAATCAGAATAGTTTAGGCAGAGTTATTTAAGTTTTTCGTAAATCAATATTTGCAAAAAGTAAAAAAACAGCATCAAAAATCGCATTATTACGATTCCGTTGAAAAGATTTTTAAATCTTTTATGCAGAGTTTTTACGCCTAATCTGTTTTGTCATCTGAGGGGCCTTTTTTCAAAAAGTTCCTTGAGAAACTATTTTTATTCATTAAAAACTCCATTTTTGAAGGTATTTTCAAATCGGTCCAGCTCGCTTAAATCTTAATATTTTTCCGAAATATTTTGGTGGGAGTGTTAAAATATAATAGATTTTGTAATCGCGGCGGAAAAGCCGCAACTTTTTTTGGTGATGCAGTCTAATATACATACACATATATTAGGGTGTTCGACTATTCGACTTTTTTCCAAAACCGGTTTTCGAGTTATTCGAAAAATTGCAATTTGGAAAATAAACTGTTCCCGATTTTGAAATTAAGAAAAAACCGGATAAACCGACTTTATTTTATATTGTCTTCATACAGTCAAAATGCTTATGTTTGTGTGAAGTCATACCAAAAATTACAATAAACTACTAACAGTAAACATAGCTTTTATTTAGAAAGGAGCAAAGCAGAATAAGCTCAAAGTTTTTTCTTAGATCAAAAGTAAACCAAATAAAAATCAGTGAAAAATTCACGTTTAGTCTTATTTCAGCTTTTTTAAATACCTAATTTTTTTACTTTTTTCGGATTTGAGCAGTGCTCTTGCCGTCTGGTCCCAGTCAACATACACAACAAGTTTTTTGAAATGGCGTTCGCCCTTCGGCAGACAACGCTGCCTGATAATTGTTACGCAGGGGAAATATTTTTCTGTCAATTAGATTTATTTCCCAACGTTAATTTTTTACGTTGCTTGATAGCAGTTATTGTCTTACGTTTATTTTTACTTTGCCTGATAAGAGTTCTTTCAATCTTCCACTTTTATTTTTATCTTCTTCTCCAACTCCATCTCCATCAATATCCTATTTTACAACGTTTATCGAACAACGGCTACAATAAACGTTGGAAAATAACTGTTATCAAGCAGCGTATAAAGTAAACGTTGGGTTGTACCTTTTATCGGCGAAATAAAAATAACTGTTATTAAACAACTTTTTCGTTAAATTTTAGAATTTGGGCAACGTTTCCAATTTTTGAATTCGGGATAACAGTTATTTTTAGTCCCTGAAATAAATGAATTGTATTTAGAAATAAAATGATAAGAAAAAAAGGCAACATACTTATATCAAAATACATATATATAATGGCGTAAGTGCCTCGTAATCGCGTTAACCTCGTAAACGTACTTAATTTTGTATGGAAAAGCCTTTTTTTTAATAGAAGAGGAAGTGAAAACTGTTTATTTTTTTTAACTTACGTCCATTAATACCACGCATTTTCCCTTGTATTTTGAAGGAAGGAATTCGGCATATAGAGTGACACTGCAAGAAAGAGAACTATTTAAGTAACTTCACTGATATAATTTTTTACAAAAGCTAACACTAAGAACAGCCATATCCCTTTCCTTATATAAAAATTCTTCCTCATTCCGAAGCTATATAACAATTCATAATTACTTATAAACAAAAGCACAAAATTGAGATTGCTTTCTTTTAAGGCCTTTTAAAAACCACATATGAAAGGGTTAGAATCAAAAGGATCTATGTAGGTCTGACATTGTTTTAAGATAATTAAAGTTAAAGTTGACTAGCTATTGTAAATTTTGGGTAAATTTAGTTGAAATGATTATTGCCAGGCCAATAGATGGCATTACAATGTCCGAAATGACTTGCATCTCTTTATATATGTCACTAAGACCCTTATGATTCTAACCAGTGTTGCCGCGAATTATTTTTAGTGGTAGCCAAATTTCTTTAAGAAAAGGGCTAAAAAAGAGATAAAAAATGTCGTTGTGGCTAAAAATGGTAGCTAAAATTTTTTACTTACATATACATACATATATAAGTATACACGCAAACAGAAAAACAATGAACTCTGGAAAAAAGTTAATATTTTATCCAACCAAAAACCTTTTTGTATAAAAGGGGAAATATACGACACCAGCTTGACGGCTCCATCAAGTGATTGTACCATCAAGCTCGAAGAATATAACTTACCAGCATGCTGGTACAATGTTCATTTCTTTACAAATGAGGTCGAGGAATACCGAAATGATTAGAGCCGAAATTTCATAATTTTTCTACAATTTTGTTAAACATTGTTTTTTTTTGTAATTCACAACTGCAATATCGTGAACTTAATCTTCCACAAACACAGCTTTTACTCATATAGTGCAAGAAATTTCCTCCAAAATATTTATTGCTTAGAAAATTCAGATAATTTCACCACTCACGACACCAGCCTGCTGGTACAATCATAAAATTTTCAAATAGTTTTTGAAGTCGCACCAGCGGCTGGTTCAATCACACCACAAGAACATACATGGTCAATCGACTTGATGAGCCATTTAACAAATTAAGCATAATAATTAAGCATTAAGCCGTAAACTTATCTATTTTAAACTATAGTTAAATCGTTAATAGATAAGTTAACAGCCCTAACACTTTCTCGACCCTATTAAGCTGGCATTTCAGGGCACTATGGCTACGCCCATGGATATAGTGCCAACAAACAGAATAAATATTACATGTAGATATTGTCTTCCCAGATAGCGCATATTCAATTCTGCCTAAATTACAAAACATCATTTTTGCCCACTCCCAAAGGTTTAAGGTAAGGGAAAAATTGATATTTTCAAGCACTATGTACACATATGGGTGTTTCTATCGGAAGGTCCACCACGACAAAAAAAATAAAAGTCTTATATCTAACGTATTTACAGACCGATTTGTCTGCTTTTTTAAAATATATACTGGCTATGTAAGTAGAATCATGTTTGAGTAAAATGGTCTTCCTAGGTGGCGCCAAGGTCGAGATATTTCGAAAAACTGTATTTATGGCCCGATTTGGTTCGAATTTGGCGTATGTGGTTGAAACATAATAAATCAAAATTGACCCTGAATTGGCGCTGAAGTCAAAATATAAAGTATATTCGATATAAAATACATGTTTTATTTGCGTTAAAAATTCATTAAAAAGCAATATTAACCAAAATATAACGATGGAAATTGAAACAAGTTGCATTAATTCAAAAAACTCTAAAAACTAGAATTGCTCGAAATCATATTAAAATAAGTTTCATGAAAATAGCCATCCACAATTCGCAGAGTTTTGCGATTTTGTAAGAAAAGAAAAAATCAACTTCCATTTTTTGTCACGTAACGACACTCTCTTTAAATGCTTATATTTCAGGACCAAGCAGTTCGATTGTTTTCATTTATCGGTTAAATATAGAGCTAATTTTGTGCTATACAAATGCCCAAAAAAGTTAAAGAAAACAAATGGTATTCCTTTTTTGTATCACATTGAAACGTACGACTGTCACGTATGCGACGTATGGAAATACCCATATGTATTTTTTTAAACAAACTTTTTTGCTGAGAACTTATTTAAATTCCACAAACCGAATGCCAACTTGAATTAAAGGAACCAACACTGAAGTCAGTCAAAATAAAAATGAAATAGCACAAATTTCTATGTAAAGCAAAACTCTCTGGGAATCCTACGAGACATCTGCCGGTCATATGACTGGTCATCTAAATGGGAGATCTGCAGTCATTTAGTATCTTATTTTAAATCAGAATTGAAGGAATTTCTGAAAAATCTGACCAGTTCTTTTGTGTAACTGTGATTTTGCATCCCTTGTCAACATATGGCCTCGGTTGATTTTAACTTAAGTTCGTTGTTTTACTGCCTTAAAATCGAAGGGAAATTTTTACAGCGTTTTTTATGTGTATTGGTTTCTATTTGAGTGTATTGAGAATCGGTCAGTCTGAAAAGGCCTTGTAGGGAACACAATAGGTTTGTTCGTCGAAAATCCAGCGAGAATTCAAAATATCAGATAGTAATAGTAATAGATAGTTTTTTTTTGCCGAGTACCTTTCAAATCATTGGAATTAACTAAATTAATTAAGTAAACAAGTATTAACTTACATTTTTCATTTTAAAATCGCTCCAGTTTGTAAATTTTTAAATTTAACGAACTTGTTTATTCAAATTATCGTTGACAAAAAATCCAACCATGTGCCACAATCATATGTTTTTCCTAATTGCAAATTCTTGCTGGCAAAATTTTTTCCGGCACGAATTTGTAACTTCTTTCCAAGAAATAGTCTTTTTACTCGTGATTTATTTAAACAAAATATGTGAAATTTAGTTGAAACATTTTAGCCGTTTTTAGCCGGTTTTATTTGCCAATTTAGCCGGTTCGTCCAAAAAGTTCTGGCAACACTGCTGGTGTCAAGTGGCATCTTCCACTACAAACCTCCCCCTCAAATGTGATTGCTCTCAGCCACAATTACTTCCAAGCGGGCTCTAATATCTTCTCTGCTTTTGGCAATGTTCATGGTTGACAAACTATGTTGAGGCTGATCAGTGTCAGTTTTTATTTTGATAATTCTGGGCTTTAACTTCATATACAATACGTACTACTATTATGATTGCTGTGAGTATTGCAATTACACCATACCACATCCATTTGCTATTTTCAAGAACGACTTTTATCTCTTCCATTCCCTCGTTATTTCGAATATGCAGTTTATGAAGGAATGGCAATGATAGGTGTTTTTGTTGACTTGTCTCATTTAAAATAGTTTTCTTAGGAGCTAGGAGCTCAATAATATCGATCTGATGATTTGCTTTGAATTTCTATCTATTTATCGTAAGAGTTTTTCAAATGTAATTAACAGGGTTCCATTAGCTCTAATCATTTCTCCATTTTCTTCGATGTTTAGCTTACTGCTGCGTGCGATGACTAATCCGTCTCTAATTACTTCAATCTCTTCTAAGTGGTACGCCGCCATAGTGGGAAAATTTGCTGTATGGTTGTTTAGAAGTTGTAAAAGGCAAACATCTTGCATATTAATACTACAATAGTTATAGCCTACAGATTTTCTGCAATTGTCGAATGGATACTGGTTGCCCTTACAATTAGCAGTTAAATTATTCTTTAAATACAACATTTTTTTTTTTATTTTGAGCCACAGGGCTCATTTGATATAATTTGCAAATTTTTGTTATTTGAGGAATTTTTACAAAATAAATCAGTGCATCGTTTTGGTAATAAATTTTTACATCTGAAATTGTAATAATATCGGACATGGGACAAGTGTGTCTTCCTTAAATTCTATCAAACTGATTTCTTCTGTATTTAAAATTAGTGGGTTTACAATATTATATTTTGCTAAGGCTACACCATTCAACATGTTTTTTAAATTATCAATAACTATTCTCTTTCTTCGTGCCATGAGTAGAGTGACCACTTCATAATAAATTGCATTTCTATTATTGATATTGTTAATTCGGTCTGTTATTTCATCAATTTTTTCTTGAATTTCTTTGTTTATTTCTATTTGTATATTTCCAGCCCTTATAATTTCATAATTTCATTTCATTGTAGACCGCTGTGATGTAGTGGTAAGCAGTGTTGCCGCGCCGTCTCAAGAAAATGTATCCCTGACCAAGCCAAAAATGTATCCAAATGTATCCAATTTTCTTTTTTTACATATACATCTCATAATTTGTAAGAAAACCAAACATTTTCATGAAAAAGACATAATTTAACCCATCATAAGGACTTGGAATACATGTGCATAAAATCAAACATTTGTAATTTCAATTTATAAAGTAAATTTTTTGTGCATAAGTATTTTGCAAAGTAAATATAATAAATAGCAAGTACAATCTAAAAAGAGCATGTAAAACTACTACTGAAAAGTATCTATTTTTCAACAAGAATCTGTATAAATATACGTATAGGATGTTCAGTATTTGATTTTGAACTTGAGATCTTTAAAATATTCACATATATAGAATGTTTAAAATTGCAAAAATTTTCAAGCTACAAATACATTTCCTACTAATAATAAACATTACTTTATTTTAAACATTTTATGTATAATTTTGCTCTTGCGGCAAATTCGTTATATAACAGTAAACAGGCAATGATTAATTTTAGGGAGTGTCTATTCGCACTTTGCCAGTGTCACCAGTGTACCAGTGTCACCAGTGTCCCAGTGCCACCAGTGTCGCCAGTGTCACCAGTGTACCAGAGTCGGGAGTCTTCGGCTCTGCCAGTGTCACCAGTGTACCAGTGTCACCAGTGTCACCAGTGTCGACAGTGCCACCAGTGTCACCAGTGTCGCCAGCTTCACCAGTGTACCAGTGTCACCAGTTTCCCCAGTGTACCAGTGTCGCCAATGACGCCTGTGTCACCAGTGTACCAGTGTCGCTGGTGTCACCAGTGTCGCCAGTGTCACCAGTGTACCAGTTTCACCAGTGTCACCAGTGTCGCCAGTGTCACCAGTTTCACCAGTGTCGCCAG